CCTGCCCAGGCCTGGGGAGAGGAGCCGATAGCCCTTAGCTCTGGGATGAAGAGATGGGAGTGTGGTCTGCAGGGATGGTCTGCACTGCCCCTGGCCACGGCGTTCCATTCACTGAGCACACCCCTATTTTACCCTTGAGGATAAAGCCAAGTCTTCTACACCTCCATCCTCCATCATAGACAGCAGGCGACTGACACGAGGCTGCCGATGGACCGGCCATGCTGACTGGATGGCTTTCCCACAACTGCAGGTTCCCACCTCAGGTCCCTCTGCGGGGAACCTCTCTCCTCATCCCCATCCCATGGCTCTACCCCTTCTTCTTCCACTTATAAAACTCCTAGTCATCCCTCAAAACCCATCTTTGTGCCTTCAGGAGGTTTTCCATGATCATCTCCTGCCCCAGCCTGAGGCTACTCACTGGGCTGCCTTCCTACTTTACAGGTGTTTCTCTCGTTGAACTTATCACTGTATTGTCATTAAAAAATATTTTTCTCCCTGTGAACCATTTGAAGGTAGGAATTAATATCTTAATTTCTTTCTCTTTTAAGACAATATCTGGCCTGGTGACAGCGTTGGTGTGGCTCCGTCTGCGGAGGGGAACCCTGAGCGAGTCCAGCTGGGGGCGGCGGAGCAGGAGCTGCCGTGGCTGCAGAGCCCCATACGCGCAGAAATACCTGTCAGGTAGGTCAGAGCGTCGAACGGCACGTCCTTGTAGTCGTTCAGGAACATCTGGACCTGCCGCACGCTGATCCTCAGGTCCGACTCGTTGAACTCGTAAGGGATGTTCCAACCTGTGTGGGGCGGGCGGAGGGCTCAGCGCGTGTGGGCCAGACAGAGCTCGAGGCCATCAGCCTCGACAGGGATTGTGGCTGCGGCCCCTGAGCCGAGGAGGCGTCTGTCCTAAAACCAAATTCCGGGTGGCCTCCCCTTCGCTGAGGAAGGTGCCAGCACCTGCGGCTGGACACAGTGGAGGCACAGGGCTCCTGGCCAGCAGGGGCAGCGGGCAGCGCCCTGGGCCTCGAGCCCAGCCAGCTTCGGGCTCCCTCCCCGCAGGAACTGGCGGCCCTGGGTTTGCTGAGAAATGCCCGGGGCCACACCAGCAGCCTGAGTGCGAGCAGAGCTTGGTGTAAGACAGCAGGTCGATGGGGCCTGGGCTCAGCCGAGTCACTTCATCTCCTGAACATTCACACTCAAATTAAAAATGATAAAACGGCCCTAACCGGTTTGGCTCAGCGGATAGAGCGTCGGCCTGTGGACTGAAGGGTCCCAGGTTTGATTCCAGTGAAGGGCATGTACCTTGGTTGCGGGCACATCCCCAGTAGGGGGTGTGCAGGAGGCAGCTGATCGATGTTTCTAACTCTCTATCCCTCTCCCTTCCTCTCTGTAAAAAAATCAATAAAATATATTTTAAAAAAATGATAAAACAGCAGAGTAGTAACTCATGCTCTGGCACACCCGGCCATTGGTTGCGAGCCAAGGAGGTGCCCAGACTTTGGGAGACCCGCATGGTGGGGCGCGGGAGAGTCTGCAGCGGGCCCTGGGCTGCCCGTCCCGGCCGCTCTGTGCAGGGCCAGGGCGCGTCTGCAGCCGGGCGGGTGTGCAGGGAAAGGAAGAGGATGCTCGGAGGACCCCCAGAGACAGCTGCGTCCTGGTTAAGGAGCACGAGCTGAGGGCCCTGCAGGGTCACGTCCAGGCTGTGGAGCAGATCAGCCGCAGCGGCCGCCGCCGATGGCCAGGAGCCTGTCAGCGTGCGCTGCTCGGGCTCTCACGGGAACCAGTCAGCATCTAGTGAAGTGAGGCCATGGCTGGGTCTGTTAGTGAACACATCACCTTTATTTTTTCGAGAAGCACAGACAAACATGTCCCAGCGTATTTCTTTCCTTGTCATGCTACAAACTACCTGGTGGCGCTTTGTGGATAACGGCCACCGTGCCCCAGGTGGGCGCATACACATCTCACGCCCCGATTCTCTCGTCGTCACGTGACTTCAGCAACACCTCTTTTCCTGGCCTTGACGCTGACCTGGTTCTGGGGTTGCCAGGTTTATTAAATACAAGTACAGGGCCCTCGGTAAAGTTATAGTTTCAGATAGCCAACAAGTCCCGTTCAGTACACGTGTGTCCCGAAGCCTGTGTGGCCACCGTCTCCCGCGTCTCCCCGCGTCCCTCTGAGCAGAGCCCGCGCCCCGCCTACCTAGCGGCCCGAAGTTCCGCCGCTCTTGAACGATGGCGTGGAAGAAGCAGAGGCCAAACAGCAGCTTCTGCCACATCTCAGCCTTTGTGCAGCTTTGGAAGAAGACGGGGTCGGAGATGGGGTCGTTGAGGTAGGAGCGCAGGAGGTTGGCCCGCAGCCCTTTGGGAGGCTCGTTGGTCATTTTGATCCCGTTCTGGAGGATGCTGACTGGGAACTTCTCGGAGGGGTAGCTGGTCAGCCAGAGTCTGGAGGGACAGCGACCCAACTACTTAGAGCAGTGATTCACTTAAATGGAAAAGCCAGTAACACAGATATTAGCCACCATCCATTGAGCACCGCCCAGTGCCGCCAGGCTAAGAACCAACGCGTCCCTTCCCGTGCTTTGCCTCCCAGCCCCTCTGTGGGGGGTTGCGGAAAGGGGGCGGTAGGCCAAATAAGTTTGGGAACCACTGACTTAGAGCAATGCAGTAACTTAAATGGAAAAACCAGTAACACAGATATTAGCCACCATCCATTGAGCACCGCCCAGTGCCGCCAGGCTAAGAACCAACGCGTCCCTTCCCGTGCTTTGCCTCCCAGCCCCTCTGTGGGGGGTTGCGACCCCTCTGACCAGAGAGGAACTGGGAACGTGGAGATGCCGAGTGGGTGTTTCACGTGCACACCCCCTAGAAGTGGCTGAACTGAGAGGTGAGCCGGGCTCCCGCCGTCCAGGCCCCGTCTGCCCTGCTGGACTGGCTGAGCTAAAGCCCGCACCCAGGAGAGGCTGAAGTGAGCCAGCTCCCAGCTCCCAGCTCCCAGCTCCCAGCTCCTCACAGCCTTGCTGTTAGAGAGGAAACGGGCAGGCGGGGGAGAAAAGGCAAGCAAACCGATGCCACAGTAAATGCATTATTGAACCAAGACCGCAGGGCAGAAGAGAAGTAATGTCCCCACGGGAACAGGAGGTTTCTATTGCAGAGAGAGGTCTGCAATCGGCCCAGCCAGGGGCAGAATCCAGCAGGGCCTGCTTTTGTAAATACAGTGCTCAGCCCTGGCTCTGCCCCTTCATTTACATAGGACTTGCGGCTGCTTTCCTGCAGCTGACTACAGTGGGGCCTTGACTTACGAGTGTCCCGACTAACGAGTTTTTTGAGATACCAGCTGTCTCTCCACCCAGAGTAATTTGAGTTAACGAGCTCCTTAATGAGCTCAGTCTCGGAACGAATTAAACTCGTAAGTCAAGGCCCCACTGTAGTTGCAACAGAGACCACGTGGCCTCAAAGTCTGAAATATTCACTATCTGGCCCTTTACAGAGAAAGCTTGCTGACCGCAGTCATGGAGGCGGCATTTGGAACAGGCCCTGAAGGTATGGAAGGCTTCTTCCTTTGAAATATAAAAGCTTATCTATGCCCACAAAAATGGGAACATATGCAAATGTATGTAGAAGCAAAAAGATGGTACCTCAGCGAGTTAACACTTTCGCGCACTGGCGTCTAGGCTTTCCTTCATCTGTGTTTCCTACCCGAGCTCCGTGGCAGCCTGTTCTGTTTCATTTTGCAGGTTTTTGTTTGTTTGCTTTGCTAGACTTTAGAGAGGTTTACCAACAGGCGAATCTGGCGACGGAAGGCCATTAGAAACACAGGACGCAGCTGAGCGTCCACACAGGCGAGGAGGTCGGGAGGAGGCACGGCCCTGTGGGTCCAGGCCCGGGCCTGGGAGGTGGGAAGAGGCTGTCGCTGCTGGCTTGAGGCCTGACCTTAGTCTGCAGATGGCTGACATCTAGTTCAGGCCCAGAAAACCAACCTGATGCTGCAACATATTTTTTAAGTAATTGCCCACTTTTAAAAATGTAGGGTTTTCTTTTAAAATTCTAGATCCCTACATACCCTTTAAATAACGACAACATCCAATCAAGAGGCTTTCGTTCCTGCATGGCAACACCAGCGGCATGAGCAGGGGCTGCTCTTCTTCCTCTAAGGGCGTGGCTTCTCCTCTACTGTCCCCACCGCTCTCGGTCGTGCCCGCCTGAGGCTGACGGCCAGGGTGACTGCTGCTGTAGTGTGGAAAGTGGGGTATTCCTGTGCCTAGACCCCCTCCCTCATCTGTGGCACATTCCTGGCTCCTGTAGGTACCTGAGCTCATGCCTTTTGGATTAGGAACATAGTATTGAGGACCTTAATGAATAATTTTTCTTCATTGAGTGTGTCATTAATGGTCAATGAATCAACTCATCATCCCAAACCAAACAGAATTCTTGAAACTAGTAGATCCCACTTAAACTCTTACATGAATCTTCCCTGAGTCTTACATGAATAGAGTCAACTATGGCCTAGTCTGGCTTTGTAAATAAACACTAAACACTTTCCTATTTTCAGGCAGACATGACTAAAATGAAAACATCCACCAGGCTTTGGGGTAGAACTAGAGTTGGCAAAGTCTCTGTAAAGCAGCGGTTCTCAACCTGTGGGTCGCGACCCCTTTGGCGGTCGAACGACCCTTTCACAGGGGTCACCTAAGACCATCCTGCATATCAGATATTTACATGACGATTCATAACAGTAGCAACATTACAGTTATGAAGTAGCAACGAAAATAATTTTATGGTTGGGTCACAACATGAGGAACTGTATTTAAAGGGCCAGAAGGTTGAGAATCACTGCTGTAATGGATCAAATAGTAAGCGCTCAGCCTTTGCAGGCAGATGGTTGCTGCCACATTACCTGCAGCATGAAAGCATCCTTGATCCTTGATAATATATAAGTGAGCATTGCTGTATCGTAACAAAACTTTATTGATGGACAATGACATTTTAATTTCATATCATTTTCATGTGTCATGAGGTATTATTCTTCTGATTTTTTTCAACCATTAAAAAATGTAAAAACTATTCTTAGCTTATACACCAGACACCACCAAGCAGTCCCTGGGTGAGGCCCCGGCTGTATGGCTGGCCCTGCTGGACCAAGGGCACTGCTGCACATGGGAGTGGAAAGGGGCTGTGAAGTCTGTCTGGTTCATCTCCTCACTCTGCAGATGTACAACCAAGCTACTTGCTGGGCTTGAAAGTTCACAAAAACACATAGCTGTTTCCAGTGTTTCATGGCGCCTGAGAAATAGGCCAGAGCAAGGACAGCGGAGCCTAGACTACAGGTGAGATATTTTTAAAGACAAAGAATTTTAAGCATCAGATTTGCTGACATTTAAAGTACCTTTCCAGACACATTTCCTATCACCTCCCCTCAACAACATCTCACACCAGGGTCACAGCATAGCTTCTTGGTGCTTCCCTAACACCATCTTTGCTTTTTACAAATGCTGTCCCCTCTGCCTGGAATGTCCTTCCTGGCGAACTCCTATTCACCTTTCAAAACCCCAGGCCAATATCAGTCCTCCAGGTCTCCCCGACTCTCCCTTCCCCCTCCGTGTCCCAGGGCCCTTCTTAGAACATGAACATCGTTCCTCTGCAGGCTGCCTTCTGCTAGACTGAGCCTCCTAAGGGCAGAACTGTGTCTGGTCGTCTTCGCCTTCCCTGCCATCAGCACAGTGCCTGGAGCCGAGCCGCGCAGGACAGGCAGTGTGGGAGCCTCTCACCTGAAGCTGACGTTGGTGTTCTCAGGGACGATCACCTCCTCACAGATCTTCTCCAGGGCAGGCATCCAGCTCGTGGCCAGGTGGCAGTTCTGCAAGACCACCCAGGTCCCCTCTTTGATGGCGATGTTGATCATTTTGGCCGCAATAGGGCCTTGGCCTTGGCCCAGGGATATGATCTGTGTTTTGGTGCCTCCCATGTCAAGATCCTCCGCAAACTTCAGCAGGCCTGGGGCCAGGAGGAAAAGGGGCTTTTAAGAGAATGAGCCAGCCAAGACCATATTCACAGTCACGTCACAGGGGGGCCACGTTACAATTCTGGGCTCCAAAAGACACTCACTGACTGCTGGTAATTACAAATAAGCAAGTCTCTGGGGAAATTTTAGACTTTGGTGAAGATGGAGAGCAAAGACACTATTGGTCTCTCTTTTGCTCTGAATATACAGACATTATTGATTTTTAAAAATTACAGAAACTGAAAAAAATCAGGGTTGAAGGAAAGAGAAATTCCCAGGTGCCAAAAATAAAGACAGAGATCAAAACTAGAGAGGTGAGCACAGAGCCAAAGGACAAGGAACTGGGATTTTAGGAATTTATTTTACTGGGAAAAACAGGTGTTTGTACAGCGAAATTTCAGGTAAGTCTCACTTCTCTCTCCCTCAGAGGCAGCAATGCTACCAGGTTCTGTGAGTCCTCCAGAGACATTTATGCATTTCAGGCATGCGGAATACGATTATACTCACACCAATTGTAGACCCCACCTGTGCTTCCTTCACTCAGAGGTCCCCTCGTCAGTCCGTGTGTAAAGGCCCTATTCTTTGTCATGGTTGCAAAGGATTTCCCCATTGGAAAATACCACACGTCATTTAACCCGCTCAGAAGCGGTGTTTGCCCATGGGAGATGGGCATAACTTTGCACTCAAAAAAGGTGGGGTGCTGGAACTGAGATTTAAAATAAAATAAAGTTAGGATCCTCCAAGGGCTGCGCCTTCATGGAGAGAAGGCCAGAAATCTGGTCACTGACTCAAGAAGCACCGTGGAAGCTGCCACTGGCTTGTAGCCTGGATGGGAAAATAAAAACCCTCCAGTGAGAAATCAGAGCACGCAGCCTACGCCACAGGTCCCCACGCTGAGAAAGTCCCTATACACTGACCTGGAACGGGACACCCGGGCACCGCTGTTTGCGTCTATAGACTGTTCAGTTAGGGCACTCCTGAAACCCACGCCAGCGAGACCCCCACAAAACAACACACGCTGCTGTTGGTGAACGCACAGTAAACTACCACCAACTACCAACCACGCTCAGGGACTGTCAGCACAGACAACAAATGGGAGAACTGATGCCCCAAGGATTACACACGGACTCTGCTGTGGGCTGAATTCCGTCCCCCCAGATCCATATCTTGAAGTCCTGACTCCCAGGACCTGGGTCTTTACAGAGGTAGTTAAATTGAAATGAGGTCAAAAGGGCGGGTCCTAATCCACTATTACTGGTGTCCTTACATGAGGAGATGAAGACAGGCATAGAGGGAAGACCCTGTACAAACACAGGAAGCAGGTGGCCACGAGTGAGCGCGGAGAGGCCTCAGCAGCCCTGAGCGTGGACTTCTGTTCCCCAGGACTGGGAGGAACCACGTCTGCCGTTCAAGGCACCCGTCTTTGGTATTGGTTGTGACAGCCCCAGCTGATCTTTGGCGATAACGTATTGGCACAAAACCTGGAAAGGAGACCCATGGCTCCCAGCTGCCACCTCTGACTGCCTTCGTGGGCAGGTGCTGGATCCGCCTGGGTCAGGTGCGTGTCACACCCCTCGGCCTTCTCCCAACACGCCAACCTTGTCATTTGCGTTTCTGACACTCTTCCTTCATTCAGCAACAGAGACAACTAAAGCTTTGCAATCCCTCAACGGAACAGAAAACTAATTCCTGAAAACAACACATACCCTTTAATAAGCACAAATGATTCCTGGGAAAATACACAACCTGGTAACAGTGGCTACTCCTGGAAGCACTAGGAAGAGGCACCTTCACTTTACATAAGCGTTCCTCGGCCTCAGCTCTCCTGACAGGCGGGGCCAGATAATCCATTGTTGAGCCCTGTGCACTGTGAGGTGTTCAGCACCCTGGTCTCTACCTACTAGATGCCAGTAGCACCCCTAGTTGTGACAATAAAAATGCTCCCCACTTTGTAAAATGTCCCTGAGGGCAAAATGGCCCTGGTTGAGCCACACTTCTACACCTTATGGCATTGCTTGGTTGTTTTTAAATCATGACTTACAGTACTAATTATCCAAAAAGTTAAAAAATTAAAAGAAAAGAGGAAAGCCCAGCTGAGATAGTCAGAAAAAAATGGTTTAAAACAAAGGTGGCCAATTAACAGCCAGGCTAAATCTAGCCACAGCTTGGCCTCGCACAATTTTTAAGAAAACATTTGAATGAGTTCTCAAGATGTCAAAAGGAGTGCTTTTTGCATGTCTTGTTTCTCTTAAAAAAATCAGATGATCTGGCTCACAGCACCAGAGGGCACAGAGGGTGGAGTAGCAGCTGGCCCTTTAGGCGGGAAAGAAACCTGCAGTCGCCACGCCCCACCCCGCCCGGCCTATTCACTGCTGGCCTTCAGAGCCATCTGAAATGGAGATGCCTGCTAAAGGGGACATGCTATTGCCATCCATTCACATTCTGGGCTCTTCATACCACAGTCCACCCTTACCTGCCATTGGGTCTGCGCCGGGAGACAGCACGAAAATCAGGGGTGTGCAGCAGCTGGAGTCATTGTAGGACCCCTGGAGGTCAAATGTAGGGGTCTCAATGTACACGTTGCCCATGTGCTCAGCAATGAACTCCCGGGTGGCCGGGATCATCTTGTCGGGCCGCAAACATCGCAGGATCACCATTCTCTCCAACCCTTGAAGGAACTTCCAAATGCCAGGGAACTTCTCCTCGTGGGGGTATGCTGAGTCATAGATGAGCTTCCATTTATCAGCATTTTCTTCCAAATGTTCCATCAGGCCATTCAATCCTGACAATGAGGATGCACGAACCACTTCGGCCCACGCTTTCTCAGACAGCCATTCAGAAACTGGGTTGGGGAAGGGGTTGTCCAGGGCCACGCCGCCAGTGAGGAGAAAGTACCAAATTTCCTCGTTAATTAGCTTTTTCTCTTTCAAGATGCCAATGGTCAGGAGGAGGGAGAAAACCAGCTTGTCCTTCTCAAACAGAGAGCGGCAGATATTGTTGTAGATGCTGAGGGTGAAGTACTCAATGATGTACTCAATGCGCAGCTCCAGCTCGTCACTCTTCTTGCTGTGCACCAGCGACTGCATGTAGAGGTTGATGAACCATATCAGGGAGTACTGGTACATCGGCTCGATGTTGGCCAGGTCAGAGATACAGAAGAAGATGGTGGCAGAGTGGACAGCCACCGGCTTGTAGCCCATCCGAGTCTGGTCAATCTGTGTTTCTGTCACCGAAGCAATTTCCTGTTTCTCGGAGATCTCTTCAGACAGCTCCTTGGAGGAGGACAAAACATTGATGGCAGTCTCATCCTCGAGGATGTTGCCCTCAGACAAGGAGAGGATCTCTAGGATCTTGTCTTCAATTTCCTTTAACTGCTTCTTGTTCTTGGCACTTTCCACAATCAACTTGTTCTTTTTCTCTTCCAGTTCTGGCTTCTCCTTGGCAGCCACGATGCCAAGCAGCTGATCTTGGAGGCCCAGGGGGGTGATCATGAAGTTGAGGAGGCAGACTTTCACAGCGACTTCAGGGAGGTAATGTGGGTTCCTCAAGCGGGTAGTGATGTATAGCTTGAAGTCCTTGGAGTATTCGATGATGTTTTCACCCAGCCTCATGTACTCGACCCCTTGCTGCCTGAATGTGGACTTGAGCAGGATGGGCTCAATGAAGGCATCCAGCTCTGCCCCCACGTTCTCTAGTAGGACAGGGGTGCCAAACTGCAGGGCGTTCTCCAGTGTCCTCACATAGTTGCTGTCCGAGAACTTGATGACAGACAGCTTGTTCACTTTCTCCATGTTCTTGATCCACTTGTTGGCCTGCCCCTGAGGGTCAATCATCAAGGCCCAGCGTCTGGAATTGGACACAATGATGCCGTTGTCGATGGAGAAGGAATCAACAGGCAACCCGGCCATCTGCCAGGCTCGGGTTTTTATGGGATCCCCCAGCGTGTTGCTGAGACTGAAGTCACTGGAGCCGGGGATGACCCTCTTGCTACACTGGGCCAGCCACTGATTTTGGCACTTGGCCCGATAATCCACGGTAAAGGCCCCTAGGTAAGCCACAGTCCCCGCAGACACCAGCACATCCCCGGTCAGATTAGTATAGCGGATCCCCAGCTGCCGGGCAGCCTCTGTCCATCGGTCCTTCTCTCCCCCAAGACCGCTGATGAGCTTTTCTGCCCTGATGAGCTTTTGGGAGCAGATATCAATGTTTTCTTCCAAGGTCATCTTCTTGATGTTCATCTCCTCAAATTCATCGTTCAGGGCCTGGAGGCGGTCCTCCACCAGCTTCAGCTCTGCTCTCTTCAGGTTCAGCTTCTGCATCTGGATGTCCAGCTTCCCCTCTGCCTCCCTCAGCCGCTCCCGCTTGGGAGCGACCACCTTGGTCACGCGGTCGTACACCTCCATGGCTCTCACCCACTTGCACAGACCCTCACAGGCAGATGACACGTTTTTAATGACGGCCGGCTGGAAATCTGGGTGGTCGATAAATCTCTCTCGGATCCGTTTCATGATTATTAGGGGGATGTTGTCTTTGTCATATGTCTTAAGACTCTCCAGGAACTTCAGATCGCCAAGAACCTTTCTTGATACCCCCCAGTAATCTTCTATCATTTTGCCTGTCAGGTGAGCAAAGGAATAAGACTATCATTAAGATTTCTGGCTGAGACCTAAAGCTTTGCAGTGACGGTTCCTCGGATCTGGCAAAAAAAAATCAAATCCTACAGAGGACTTTAAGGGCAGAGAAAATACTCTGTATGATACCATAACGATGGACACGTCCTTCTATGTTTGTCCAAACCCATAGAATGTGCTCCTCCAAGAGCATTCAATCGTGTAAACTATGGGCTTTGGTGATTATGATGTGTCCGTGTGGGTTTGCTGTGGTGGCGGGTGTTGATAATGGACGGGAGAGACTGTGCATGGGTGAGGGCAGGGGAATATGGGAAACCTCTTTGATGTGAACTTAAAGCTGCTTTAAAGATACAAAATCTAAATAAGAAAAGGAAAGTCTAAGCTCCTCACCATGGTCTGGGAGGCCTACTGACCTCACCCCTCATCGCTGCCTTGCTCTTCGGACGCCAGTCATGAAGGGCCTCCTGCAACGCCTCGCTGTCCGAGGCTTCCCTACATGAGCTGCGCATGCCTGCAGCTGGCTCCTGACCAGACTGGGGGCTCATTTTAGAAACCACCCTCACGGGCCACAGAGGGGTTTCCCTAGATGAGTCCTAACGAGCGGCCCCTGCACCCCTCCCACAGCATTGCCCTTCATCTCAGCAGCTAGAGCGTCTGTTCTTTTTACAGCATCTGTTGCAAGCTGTGACTTTTTGCTTAGGGGTCTGTGTTTACTGTTCTCCGCACAGTGCCTGAGACTCGGTCATCGGTCTGTATTGAATGAATGTTGCCCCTCATCCCAGCCATAGATGGAGAGGGCAAAGGAGTCATGGGCATGTGTTTTAAATATTCTTTTTCGCGTCTGGGAGGTGGACTGGATGGAACCCAAAGCGTCCTCCTCGTGAGTGAGTGGGGGCCCAAGAGAAGGCGAGGCGGGGAAGAAGACTGCAGCTGGACAGAGGCCCTCTGCCACCTGCCCAAGACGAAGCCGGGCCTGTTCTCCTTAGCCCTCGTCACGCTGACCCCGGGCTGAGTGAGCCCTGACCTCACCCCAGGCGGCTCCTAAAAGGCTGACAGGTTGGAAAGGTTGGAGGCCTTTTGGCTCCTGGCACTGTAACCATCGCTCATCCTAACAAGCGTCCATGAGTCCTGGCTATGGGCTCAGTTGTTTGGAGCGTCGTCCACGGTGGAGGGTTTGATTCCAGGTCAGGGCACATGCCTAGGTTGCAGGTTCCACCCCCGGTCGGGCAACCGATGGATGTTTCTGTCTCACATTGATGTTTGTTTTTTCCCTCCTCTCTCTCTCTTTCTCTCTCCCTTCCTCTTTCTCTCAACTCAATGAAAAAGTCCGTGGGTGAGCATTAAAAAAAAGCTGTACTTGAGGCATCATATTAATTACAACAGTTCAAATGTGTCCTGTTTCTAACTCAAGCACAGCGATCAAACATTCCCATGGAGGTTTTTGTTTACCGTCAGGAGAGTGACCCGCTCCATGTAAATCCAGGATGCCCAAAACTAACTGCAGCCCACTGTCCGGGCTGAATGCTGCAGGGTAAGTGAGCAGTGCACACAATTTGCTTTACCTTTGAGCTAGAGAGGCGAACAATGGGTCCTGTGTGGATCATCAATGATCCAAGAAGAGAAATGACTTCTGGGACCTGGCTATGATTTGTGCACCGTTCTCAACCCCAGCTGCACCTTCGAACCACACAGGAGTTCAAAAAAAAATGCTAATTCACACAGAGGCCATGCCCAGACCACTGAGTGAGGATCCCCATGGCTCTCAGAGAGGCGCCGGCGGGGCCGGGCTTCAGCCTCTTCATGCCCCGCGGGTCCTGGGTGCCCCGAGTGGAGATGTGCTGGCTGGCTCACCTTGCTCAGCCTCACAGAACGCCCCTCACCTGCTGCCCTAACGGCCCCCTGTCAAGTCCACACCGGCTTGTCCATTCCCCATTCCTTCTGCGTCTCCTTCATGGGGCTTCGGCCACCACCACCAGGAAAGAGGGAGTGCTAACCAATGGGAAGCGGAAGCCTCAACCTCGTTCAATTCCAAGGCCCCTGTCTTCATACAAGACCCTACATGGAAATCTGATTTTAAGGAGACTGAACATTTACCTATTAATGCGGCTAGTCTCACTTATATGAGGCGCTTTCCTCTCTCCCCTGGAATCCTTGTCTCCCCACCTCCCGCCCAGTCTGCCTCTGCCTCCCTCTGCTCATCTCTCTGCCTCAGATTCTCCTCTACCATCTCATATTCCTCCTCCCTTTTCTTCTCCCGTAGTGTCTGTGTCTCCTTGTCTCTCTCTTCTTCCACTTGCTCTACATTTGCATGTCTCTCTGTCTCTGTACCTCTGCGTCCGTCTCCATTTCTCTCTCACTGGCAGCCTTTGTGTTTGTCTTTGTCTGTTTCTCTTCACAGCCTCCATGTCGTTCTCTCCCGTTTCTCTGTCTGACACTGTGTTTGAGTCTGTCCCCCATCCTCTCTCTCTGTCGCTGTCTCCATCCACCTCCTAATTCCTTCCCTCGGATCTCTCCCTGTTCATGATCTCTTTCTGTCTATGTGCCTGTGGGTCTCCCTGACCTTTGTCTTTGTAATGATTTGCAGGCAGGAGCTTTGACTGCTCAGCTCTCCTGTGACACCAGCATTTTCCTGGCTCCTGGGAGGAGAGGGGCGGTGAGGAGGCACAGGGAGCTCTCTGGTCTGGAGCACACGCACAGCCTGGCGCCCCTCTCGCTTCCTCCGAGATTGCACACACTGCCTGCAGGCGGGTGGGTGTGTGTGAGTGTGTGTGTGTGTGTGTGCGCGCGCGCGCTGGGCGGGCAGGTTACCGCTGCCACTGGGGTCCGGCTTCCTCTCAGGTTTCAGCCCTTTCATGACACAGATGCTCTCCATGACCAGCTTGACGGGGCCGGGGGGGTTCTGCATGGACTTCACCATGGAGATGTCCGCTGGGTTCAGGGTGTCGAGCGCAGCCAGTGCGGCCTCCAGTGCTGGCATGGCCTCGGCCAGGTCCCCCTCACACTCGTCCTGCGGGCACACGGGGACAAAGGGGTGAGCGCAGCGCCTGGCATGCCTGGCACGGGGGAGGATGAGGCTCTGCTCCTGGAGAAAACCGTCCGGGAGGGGGTGGGCAGAGGCACCGCCCACGGCCGTTCCTCCGGGAAGGTGCCCAGGGCTCTGGGTGCAGGGAGGCCGGCACCGCCCTTGGGGGCTGCAGCCTGGATGCCTTGGACTTTTAGGAATTCAGATGGTTTGTAATCTTTTAAAGTCAAGACTTTGTTTTTAAAAAAATTCCCAAGAGATATATGTAGTGGGGACCAAGGATGGGTTGAGCGATGAAGGATGAGTCTTCACAGGTGAGTGACAGATGGGAAGAGGGTCAGGGCCAGTCCAGGGAAGATGAAGGTGCGGGGAGCTGAGCGGGGAGGGGCGGGATCCCTGCGGCTCAGCGACGGGCAGGGGCAGGACTCGGCTCAGGGGGATGAGGAACAGGCATAGAGACGAGACGGGAGTTGGCTAGTGACATCTGGGAGGAGACATTATTTCCTCATTTAAAAACAAAATTTCCTCATTTAAAAACAAAATTAACACAATGAAATATCAGCCATAAAAATACTGATTCATGAAATAACACACGCATAAGCCTTGAACACTTCATGCTGAGTGACAGGAGCCAGACACAGAACCCCGGCCGCCGTGATCCCATATACATGCATGTGCAGAGAAATCCTGTGAGGCAGGAAGTCGGCGAGTGGCTGCCAGGGGCCGGAGGGGAGTCGGGGGCTGCTTGTGGGGAGGAAAATATTCTGGATTTAAATAATGCCGGTGGTTGTACAACTCTGTGAAAATGCGAAAAGCCACAATTGCATAATTTAAAAGGGTGGATCTAATGGTATGTGAGTTACATCTTAATTAAAAAAAGAAAGCTTAACATTATGAAACTTTTAGAACAGGAAGGGATCTTATAGATTAGTTAGAGGTCTAGTGACTAAATAAGAAAGAAAAAGAAAAACAAGGTTTCAGGAAGCAAATGAGTTAGCTCAGTTTCCGCAGCTGGTCAGGTATGGCACCAAGCTCCAAGCCTGACTCCCAGCTTTGCCCGCAGCCCAGGCGATCCCCAGCCGGTGTGGAGTGCAGCCCGCAGCCCAGGCGATCCCCAGCCGGTGTGGAGTGCAGCCCGCAGCCCAGGCGATCCCCAGCCGGTGTGGAGTGCAGCCCGCAGCCCAGGCGATCCCCAGCCGGTGTGGAGTGCAGCCCACAGCCCAGGCGATCCCCAGCCGGTGTGGAGTGCAACCCGCAGCCCAGGTGATCCCCAACCGGCTTGGAGTGCAGCCCGCAGCCCAGGCGATCCCCAGCCGGCGTGGAGTGCAGCCCGCAGTCCAGGCGATCCCCAGCTGGTGTGGAGTGCAGCCCCAGCCCAGGCGATCCCCAGCCGGTGTGGAGTGCAGCCCGCAGCCCAGGCGATCCCCAGCTGGTGAGCAGACTCCACGGGGAGCTTGAGTCTGAGGCAGAGCAGCGAGCCCTGGCGTCTAGATCCTGCAGGTTATGATGATGGGCAAACCGACACAGGTGGTCCTGCTTTCCCACATATGTGTGTGTGTATGTATGCATGTATGGGTACGTGTATCATGGATTCTTTATTATAGGTTTTCCGCTCTCTTATAAACCTACTAGAGGCCTGGTGCACAACATCTGTGCACTCGGTGGGGTGAGGGGGGTCCCTCAGCCCAGCCTGTGCCCTTTCACAGTCTAGGAGCTTTCAGGGGATGTCCAACTGATGGCTTAGGCCCGTGCCCTGTGGGAAGCGGGCCTAAGCCATCAGTTGGACATCCTTACCGCTGCCACAGAGGTTCACCACTATGCTCGCCAGCCGTCAGCCCAGCTTGTGGCTGAGCAGAGCTCCCCCTGTGGGAGCGCATTGACCACCAGGGGGCAGCACCTGCATTGAGCGTCTGCCCCCTGGTGGTCAGTGCGCATCATAGTGACCAGTTATTCAGCAGTTTGATTTGCATATTACCCTTTTATTATATAGGATAGCAATGATTTATTTAGCTCCATTACATTCAAACACCCCCCACCCATAAGCAAGCCATGTCCATATCCCTGTATTAAATAAATGAATGGCCAGGCCTGGGCCATTCCACTGGCCCCCACGTCAGCCACGGGATGTGTACCGAGTGGAGGCAGAGGAAGAACCAGCCCGGCCCTGCCTCCCTCACGGCAGCTGCAGAGCTGGGGCAGGGACCAGAAGGCATTGGCTCGGCCACCGCTCTGGGGTCCCCAGGTGCCCGGGGCGCCACATTGCCCTGGTTCTGTTCATGCCGGGGACCCACACCCTGCCTCCCTGCGGCCCAGCCACGGCTCTCCCTCAGGGTCCAGGCCTGGGTTCCCGCTGCTCGCTCGTCAGGCGTCTCAAACTCGCTCTCATCGTGACATTGCTGCCAGGTGATTCCAACTCTGAGCGCAGTGGGTGCCCCTCCCCAGGCCACCCAGAGAGTCTGGTCCTCGGCTTGGGTGGGGCCTGGGCACTGCACTTCAAGCTCCAGGTGAATCTGCTCTGCAGTTTCCTGGGGCAAATCCGGGGCACCCCCAGGGCACCCCAAAGCACCGAGAGGGGGCAGGGCCAGAGGGGGGCTACTTGATGGTAAACCGTCTGCCTAACATGGTCATTAAAGTGACTCTATGACATTTGGGATATGATGTTAAAAAATTTTTTAAAAGCACGACATAAATTGCAACCATGATATGATGGCAATGATGGAAACGAAGTTAAAGTTGACTTCTTTTGTTTTTTGTTGTTTGGTTAATCCTCACCTGAGGATATTTTTTCCATTAATTTTTAGAAAGAGTGGAAGGGAGGAGGGTGGGGGAAAGAAAGGGAAAGAGAGAGAGAGAGGGAGAGAGAGAGAGAGAAACATCAATGTGAGAGAGACACATTGATTGGTTGCCTCCTGAATAGTCCTTCACCAGGGCCAGGGATCGAACCCAGGTACATGCTCTTGCCTGGGAATCAAACCTAAGAGCCTTTGATGCAACAGCAGACGCTCTAACCATTGAGCACACTGGCCAGGGCTCAAGCTGACTTCCCAGCAGGGCTGTGTGACACTGCTGGAATGTGCCCAGCTCTGCAGTAATCCTGGCATCACTTGTCCTCACTAGGAAAAATGATTCATTAACTTAAAAGAATCAGCCAGTTTAAGCCACTGCTGTACTTGTGGGGCCTGCGTTCCGTCAGCCAGTCCCCTCATCTCCGCGTGGGGCGCCCTCCAGGGTCTCCCTCAGGTGAAACCAGCCCAGGACTGCAGCCCTGGGGCTCAGAAAGGGACTGGGCTCCCCATAAAGCCTCGGGCACTCACACAGCACAGCCTCCTTCCCCTGACTCACCTCCCGACCTCACTCCTGTCCTGGGGATGGCCGAGCACGGCCCCCCCTTCCCAGCCAAACCAGGAGTGAGTGTGCGGGTCGCTCTGCACCCTCCCTGCCCCTCCTGCCCAGGGACCTCTGCTCCCCTCACACTGCGGAGCAGAGGCCTGGCTGTGAGCACCCACACGTGGCGACAGGCTGGCCTTCCTCCAGGCAAGTCCCGGTACAGGGTAAAGGACCACTGTCGGGGTGGTTAACACGGGCCCTCGAGCTCGGTGTGCTGGACCATGCGACACGCCTTTGTATCCCCTCTGTCTCCCCAGGTTACAGTGAGGAAGCTGAGCAAATCCTGAGCCCTGAGGTGCCTGATTCTACCAGGGGGAGCTCAAACTAATGTGCCTCCAGCTCCAGGCCAGCCGACACGCTGGCAGGGGGCGGGCCGGCTTGTGAACGGGACACCCACCGGCAGCGCCGTCCACGCCCAGGAAGGGGGTCCCGTGTCGCCCGATGCTTGACTTTTGTTCTCAGAAAAGCTGACACTTTAGACATTTTACTTGCAGTCTCTTGATTTTGAAAAGTCGATAATTATTCCAAGATCATAAAAGAAAAAAGCGTGTGTCACAGTGCGTCCCCGGCCGCCTGGGCCACACCCTCAGTGTGACACTGGGACCAGGGATTGGACCCAGGGCAGCGCCGAGAGGCCAGGCCTCAGGCTTGTTGGAGGGAGCCGTCTGGACGGCCTGTCCTGGAGGAGGCGCCCCATTATTTATTCACCCTGGAAGCCAGACACAGGCTGCTCTGGCTCAAGCTCCTGCTCTAAGAACGGCCAAAAGGGTTTTCTAACTGCTACTTGGGAGCGTTGGGACAAGTCTGCTACGCTAAGTGCCACACCCTGGGCCCAGTCCCGCCGACTGGCTGTGCAGCTGTGGAAGTGCATGCTGTTGACTCTCGGGTACTGTCCTGTCACTCTTGTGCCCAAGGCTGCCGGGCTGCGGGCTGCGCTAGTGGAGCTGTGCCGCTGAAAGCGCTTTGAGAAATATATAGCTTCCCGGGAGTGCCAGCCGGGCTCTCCGCCAATAGCTGAGCAGGAAACGCCTGCCCAGGACGGCAAACGGAGTTCTCTAGGTCAACAATCTGTCCTCAACAAACGTTTGTTCCACCTTATGACATGCCAGGCACACGTGAGCAAAGACGTGATGGAGGAGAGAGGTGTCCAGGCTGGAGGAAGAGTGCTCTGGGCAGAGCCGCCAGCCGGTGCAGGGCCCTGGGCGGAGTGTGCCTTGTGTCTTTTTAAAGAACAGGCAGGAGACCAGCATGGCCAAAGCAGAGTGAGGGGCTCCTAGAGACGAGGGTTGGTCATACTGGGTCTCGTAGGCCTTGACTCTGAGAGACAGAGACTATCTAACACGGTCCAGCTCCCTGGAAACAGCCAGGGGGCAGGGAGTGAGCTCATCACCCAGCGGCTGGCGCTGCTGAGACAGGCGCCTGCCCTTTCCAAGCCTCACTTTTCTCATCTGCAGGACGGGCCGACCACACGACCACACGTCCCGCAGAGCTGTGCGGGCTCCCCGCCTCCCGGATCTTTATACCTTGATGCCCTGAGCAACGGAGGCAGCGGCGTTGGCTTCCTTTTCATCCGCCTGCACCAGGAGCTTCTTGGCATCGGCTTCTATGGTCTCCTCTTCGATCCTCACCATCATGTTGGCGGTCTCCTCGGATGTCTGGATGAGCTGGGGTTGGAGTGCGGTCAGCTCCACTTGCATGACGGCCACCTGGCAAGGAGACAGGGAGCGAGCGTGATGTGAAATGACCACGAGGCCGGTCTGAACCATCCTCCAACCTCCGCATTTGCAGCATAACTGGGGTCTGTTGTTGGCTGGAGTCGCCTGGATGTTCAATGCTTAGTGAGGTTCACACCAGGCGCTGCAGAGTCCGGGCACCCTGCTCGGCATGAGACACATAAACTGAAAACATATCAAAAGGCCTTTCTCGTTGTTGAGCCCACCTTCCAGTGTTGGGGGCAGGAGAGGGAGAGCAAGAGCAAGTTAGGGGGAAATCCACTTCATTTATCCATTCATTTATTTGTTTGAGAAAGAGGGAAACATCGATTTGCTGTTCCATGTATTTATGCATTGTTTCCTGTGTGTGCCGAGTTCGGGGATCAAACCTGCAACCCTGGCTTATCGGCTGACGCTCTGACCAACCAGCTCCTACATTGTTTCCAAGTCCGTGAAGGAAGCACGTGAGTGCGGCTGAGATGCCTGGGATGGAAGGGACTTGCAGGCCGTTTCCCTCTCTAAACATTCGAACTGTGTGAGCACCTCTGATGGGAGGCAGCTGGCTGCTGCAGAGGGAGGGGTGCCGTTTCTCAGGCAACTCAATGCATTAGATGTTCCCGATGCAGAGCTGGGACTCCCCCCTGGTTCTGTGTCCTTATGTGAAGAGGGTTTGTGACCTTGTGCCCAGGCCTGGGAAGCGCGGGGAGAGACGCAGGCACCCTGGCCTGGCCATAACACGGGCTCTGGACCATGCGTCTGACTTTCAGTTCCGGCCTGACCTCCTGGGGCACTGACTCACTGGGCTGCGTGACTGTGGACAGTCACCTGGCCTCTTTGCGTCTTGGTGTCTCCAGGTGAGCTTTCCTATACGCAGCCCTGGGCCTGGGGGGCTCAGGGGGCGTGACCTGGCACCTTCATTCTCTCTCTCTAAAAGCAAAGGATCCCAGTTGGACCGGCTCAGAGCTAGGAACAGAGCATGAAGGACGCCCCTATGGCCTTCCCGGCCCTGGGCTGCAGTGTTCATGGATTTGCTGGGCTCAGCAACGGGCCAACCTACTGGCAAGCATTCAGTTGTCTCGGACCTGTGCTGGTGCTGAAAATCCCTGTCTTAATGTGGCTCTCGCTTTAGTTGGCTTGTCAAGATGGCCTGTCCAAGCACAAATGAATACAAACTCATACGCCAGGCATTTGGTATTTGTGTCAGCGTTTCAAATCCTCACGACAGCCTACAAAGCACGGACTGTCACCTACCAACAGAAGAGGACGCTGAGGCCCCAAGAAGCTGGTGAGTTGAGAACTGGGACTGGAGCCCAGGACTCTGATGGCACAGAGCCCGCTCCTAACCGTGGCCTCATCCTGACTAGTGGCTTCTGGCAGGGCCAGGGCCCGGGGAGGCCTGCAAGGCACTCACCTTGGGCACAATATTCAAGGGGGCACCAGAAAACGAGTACCATGATACATAGTATTTTGTTGCAATATTTTAAGTCAAAATTAATGCCCACCAAATCCACGATGAACAAACTATTAAAATCTTGAGTAAAGACAACTCAGTGTGCTGGGCTTGGGAGGAGGCTGTGAGGGCGTCCTGCGGGCAGGGATGCTGGGCCTGAATGCAGCACCTGGACAAGGCCCCCCGCGCCCACTGGCCCTTGGCCTCCGCCCCTGCTCTGTGGTGGCCGTTCTCACCTGGGAAGCTGCGAACTGGAGTTTCTGCAGGCCTGTCAGGTAGCGGTTTCTTATCATGTCAACCTCTTGCCTCTTGCTATTTAAGAGGGTCTTAAAGGTTAGGATCAGCTCAAGGTAGGAGGTGGGGGTGACGTAATTGTGTCTGCGAAGCGTGTTGTAGTAGTCGAGTGACAGCTCCTTCACACTCTCCTGGAAGTATTTGCACATGGAGACGACCCTGCCAGGGCAGAGGCGGTGGGTGAGGCCAGAGACACCAGCGTGGCTCTGGGTGCAGATGCGAGGATGTGCGAAGGCGCCCTGGGTGGGCCCATGGAATCCCAAATCCTCCCATGGACACAGGTCAGCAGAGCCAGCAGAAGGGCTGGGGAGGTTTTATGCTGACTGAACAATCTTGGATCAGGTGACCCTGACCCCGGTCACTCTGTGAGTCACCAGGCTGGGCAGGAGCTCTTACCTTGGGCCTGACGAAGCCTCCAGACTTTGCAGAATGATGTTTGTAAATACAGAAAGTAAAATAGGATCACACAGGAAAACAACTATGTTGAAATAGAGTTTTTCAAAATATTTTAAAAACCAAATTTGTTTTATAGTCACATATACGCTTAATGCGTTAAATTAGGGTCAGCAAACTTTTTCTCTGTCACAACTACTTAACTCTGCTGTTGTGTATGAAAAAGGGGGTGTGGTTCCAATACAATTTTATTTACAAAAAAACCCACCAACCCCCCCCCCCAAAAAAAAACAGGCTGCAAAGTGGACTTGGCCTAGGAATCATAGTTTGCTAACTGCTGCATTGAATAAAATTGGGCAGCATGCCTGGAAGCTACCATAGTTTTAAGGGAATATCTGTAATGACTATGAAAAAGCCCATGTTATTTTTATTGGTAACAAAGTCACAGGTCTTGCTAATACTACTGGGTTTACTGCCTACATTCATCATGGAAGAAAATGCAAAATCTCAGCTGGATGTGAGAATGAGATGTAGTTTTCCCCATTCATATTCACTCACCCCCTGAGTTCTATTCATGGGCCTACAGACCCAGGCTAAATCTTCTGGCCTGCAGAACAAAGTCTAACGTTCTTAAGACAGAACTGAAAGCCACGCCCACTCCGAACCTTGTCTGCTTCTTCATTTCCCACCCATTCATTCAATAGCCGTCCCAGGCCCCTGCCAGGCACTAAGGCAGGGGTGGGCAACCCCTGGCACGCGTGCCAAACATGGCACGCCAGTAACTTTTGCTGGCATGCGAAACCCTCTCTTATAATCTTCCACTTACAATTTTTTTCTTAATATCGACTTTTTTATTTTTCAGATAAATTCAGTGTAGGTGCATCTTAGATAAATAAATAATTTTACATAACAAGTTATCTTAAAGACCATAGACATGGATTGACGAGAGAGGGGAAGAGCAATTTCAATAGTGTCTAAAACGAACTATTGAGGACTTTTCTGTTTAAAAAACTTTGCAACAGCGTTACTCTCCATGTTTTCATCCACATATGCTTGTAAATCTTTGTTCTCAGTGATGAATTTTGTTAAGTCTCGTAATAGGAGTAGCCTGATGGATGAAAGTAATAGCTTGTGCATATCTATGAAGGTCATGAAATATAAACCTGATGTAAAATCTCTGTCATCAGTGATGCAGCAGCAAAAGTCCCACTGATAATATCAAACGGAGTCATAAAGTTATCTGTCGGACTATCAGTGTACATGTATACATTAAAAAATAAATGTATTTTTCATCATCATATACTGTGTTTTTGTTGCTCGAATGAATTTTGTTATTTTTTCAAGGTTTTTCATATACGTACACCTTAAGAGATATCAAGTAGGCGTAACATGTTCTCAAAAAATTAGGGTTGGCACGCAGAAGAATTTTGAGTCAGAGATTTTGCTGGTTTTGGCACGCACTCACAAAAAGGTTGCCCACCCCTGCACTAAGGACATAGGGCAGGTGGCACGGCCCAGGCCTTCATGGGGCACCCAGGGTTTGACAGTCTTATCTCTTCCCTTATCCCAGCTTTTTATTTGTTTTCGTGGATCTGTGCTTTGCACATCAAGAGTAAGTTTTCTTTACCCTCAGGAACCCATTCCACCCCCCTGGCCCTGGCGGTGAGGCTGCTCTGCTGAGAATAAGAGCTCTAAGACGGCTGAGTAACGATATCACTATATTCAGGTTCTTCTGGCTGCGGCAACAGTACATCCCAGGACAATGCGAACAATACAGTTTACTCTTTTACAGAAAAAATGTTTTATTTATTAAATAGCTAACTAAATGCAATTTAAAAAATGTTTTATTTATTAAATAGCTAACTAAGTGTGATTAAAAGTATAAGACTTTTAAATCTAAATCGAGAAATCATAAAACAAGAATAGAGCCAATATCTGGATTTTCAATTTGGAATATATGCTTGGGGTATTAAAATGCGGCTAACACTTACTGTCTCCGAATATTGTCATTAAGTTCCACATCTTCCAGAAATTTGTTAGCCACCAACTCCAGGGCATCTGTGGGCCAGGACTGGAACCAATCAATCGTGCAGCAATTGATGAGTGAAGGGAACATTCTTAGGCGGTTCCGAAAGGCATCCCCAATTGGGCTCATGGCTAATGAGAAACAGACTTTATTAGTCCCCTTCCTCCACGGAGGCCCAGGGCAGCCGGTGGGTCTTACCAAGGACTCGGTGAGTGGGCATGCTCCCTGCTGTGCCCAGGGCTGTAACTGGGACAGTCATGACGAGTGCCTGGGGCGTGGGGGGAGTCGTGGGATGTTCTCATGAAGTTCTGTGACGGGAATTCAGCGACTGGTCTCCCATTCCCATTATTGTCCCTTCCAGATCCTTAGGGTCCTTTTGCCAAGTGATTGGAGCCCTTTGACCTGCTTGCCAGGGATCTCATCCATAGCTCCTGACAGAGGTATGGAGGCATCAGCTTGTCTCCAATCCCATCTAGCCATAAATTTTGGGGTCTATACCCCAAGTATCATTCATTTTTTATTTAGATTCAAAGTGGTAGAGAAAGGGTGATGCACAGGTAGATGAGTGAGAAGGTCGGTGTGGCTAAAGGAGAAAGAGAGAGGGAAACTTGGTTTGAGACCAGAGTGGAGAGGATACGAGGACAGTCTGGCAGCCGGCCTTATAAAACCATAGGGGAGGAATTTGGGTCTTCAGCCTAATAGAAAGCAATTCAAGTATTTTAATTCTTGGGCATGTGTGTACGTGTGTGAATATGCAATGACCATATTTGCAACCTATGAGAAAACCCCATCCTGGCTCAGTGGGACCAAAAGGTCTGGAGAGGACAGGAGTGGACACAGAGAGCCCAGTTAGAAGGCTGCAGGGTAAGGCCGGGAGGTCAGTGGCGCGGCCTGTGTGGGTCTCTCCCTTCTTACCAAGGACAATGTGAAGGTTCTTCTTCACCCGCTCAATAAAGAAGTTATACATAGACAGAGGGGTGACTTCAATCTTCTCGCCGGCTGTCCTGGCTGCTGTTTGCATCTTCTCGACGAGGTCGGCCTTCTCGTCCGCAGGGAAGATGTTGGGCACGTCGCCCGTGTTCAGAAGCATGTTGATGTCCTCAACAAAAGACTCGTCCTTGACCTGGCTGTCAGCGAAAAGGAACACGGTGCGCTTGGTGGCCACGCCCACCTGCAGCATGATCTTCTTCAGGTCCTCCCGCCAGTCGAGGCTGGAGTAGCTCTTCGTGATCTCGATCTGGTACAGCTCGTATGAGTTCATGAATGTGGACAGTTTGCTGGCACTCTGCCGCCCACTGCCCCCGATGCCCACCAGGAGCAAGTGGCCTTTGTCCTGCTTCAGGACCCTGCAGATCCTGGAGATGTGCTCAATGGCGAATCTGAACATGACCAAGGACATGGGGGCCTTGCTGATGTTGTTGAACTCATCTAGGTAGTACTCCATGACCACCGTGAGCTGTTTCAGGTCCGTGATCTCATCATAGATTTTGGGGTCACTATCCGGTTTGAAGTAATCTCCAAAAAAGAGGCTATGGATATTATCATCGACGATCTTTCCAGTGGGTGATAGGTGGATGAGAACCTGTGGAAAAGGTAAGTCCCAGCCAGGCACTGAGCCAGTGGCCCAACCTGGATGGCAACGGGCGGTGTAGAGGAAGGGAACAGGAGGTGAGCTTACCTTCTTCGAGCATATTCTTCAAAGTCATGGTTCATTAACAGTTTAAAAAACAAAACAAACCATGATATGGGGGTCTGATGGCTGTAAAGACTATGATGGAAGGACATTAGTGAAAGGCATGTAAAGCGAGGGCCAGTCTGCTTGCTAAGTAGTTAAAACATTGGTGGTCAGACTGTAAGATTCCCCATAGGCCTCAAAGGAAGACACCATTTTTAAAAGTACTTGCTCCTTCACCAAATAGAGGTACAGGCACTTCCCCTGGCTCCACTCCATGCCTAGAGTAGAAATGTTTTAGATGCTTCCTCTTCCTGCATTGCACCAGCGGGGAGATAGGGGAGGGCGTGTTTGTTTGCATGTGTGTTTGCGTGTGTGTGCGCGGGTGGGAGGGGGGAGGGGACTCTGTTCTGGGTCTCTGGCTGCAACGTGAAAATACTTTTGCAGTTTTCCTATGGAGAAATCACAGTTTCTTAGAAATAAAGGTAGAATGAGCTCTGGCCAGTGTGGCTCAGTTGCTTGGAGCATCTTCTCATGCACCAAAAGGTGGTGGGTTCGATTCCTGGTCAGGGCACATCCTAGGTTACAGGTTCAGTCCCCGGTCGGGGTATGCACAAGAGGCATCTCTCTCTCTCTCTCTCTCTCTCTCTCTCTCTCTCTCTCTCTTTTCCCCCTCACCCTCTCTCTAAAATCAATAAACATATCCTTGGATAAGAATTTTAAAAAATAGAGGTAGAACTAGATGATTCTTAAAACAACTTTCTTATATGAAATGGGAAAGAGAAAAAAATGTATGAATTGGAAACCATGACAATCTTTTACTTGGGTTTACCAGGGGCTCAATCAAACCATGAAAATTTATGGTTCCTTTCTCAGCTCACAAATTAATTTGACCCTTAATATGTATAAACAATAACATCATAACATCATATAGCCAATCACTTTGAATGCTTCAAACCCTCTATGTTACCAGGGAAGTGGAGCACAGTTGGGACTAGTGGTGTGCCACCAAATCAAGTGACTCGTTGGCTCAATGCTATTGCTCGAGGGTCAGAGAGCAGACTGAGTGTCTCCACTGGGAAGGGAAGCTGGACTCAGAATAACATGGTCAAGTATGGGGACCATTTCTGAGGCCAAATGATCATAGGGTCTGGCTGACCTTCTCCATGGTTTGCTTGAAGCAATTCGAGGTGGTTTCCTTCACCAAGTTGAAGAAGACCTGTCTGTCCTCATCGTCAATCAGCCGGTCATAGAAAACCCGATAGACCTCATGAATCCAAAGCCGGATAAGCTTCTCTACCTCCTGCAAAGCAGAGTTGGTTTTCTGAATGATGTGCCGGAGGGGGCAATTCTCAAATCCCCGTTGGCGTGAGAATGAAACAAGATCACGCTTTCAAAATGTTAAGCACCAGGCCTCGCACAGATTGGACACGTAGGAAGTGAGCTCTGATGGTTAGGGAGTGCTGAGTGACTTGGTAACAGAGCGGCCGCACTGACCTGCATGTGGGAGTGAGGACAGAGCAGCACCCCTTGGATCACCCGGGAGAAGTCCCGCAGGTTAAAGACGTAATGTGACTTGGAGGGAGTGGGCAGGAAGTTCTCCACGGCAGCTTTGTAGATCGTCATAGTGGCCTGGACCAGCATCTTCCCATACCTGGGGAGGAAGGAGAAGGTAGGCCAGTCAAGGAGAGGCCAGAACTGAGGGCCCCAGATCAATATCCTGGCGGACACAGCAACCTCTTACCTTAAGAAGATCACGTCAAATCCTTTCCCAAAGTGCCAGTTAGCAATGGAGCTAAAAATCTTGGTTAAAATGTCATCCTCAAAGGCGTTGATGGAAATGACGTTCAGGTGGCGGGTGAATCGCCCTGGAAGACACGCGCACACCCTCTCATTCCTGGGCCTGGCGCTCCGCACATGGGAGCTGTTTCCCTCTGCCTCCTACCTCCTGTGCTGTGCTATGGCTGCCTCTTGCCGCACGTGGCTATTTAAACTTAAATTAATGAATAACAAATAACATTGCAAGTTGGTTTTCCCAGTCCCACTAGTCACACTTCAAGGGCTCAAGGGTGACAGGTGGCGCTGCCGCTACGCTGCCTGGTGGATGCAGGTCAGCCTCGGGCCGATGGCGGCTCTGGGCGCAGGGCTCACGCTCGCTTCTAAACGTAAAGGCACAAGCAATCGGAACACCTTTATAGCAAGGGAGCATCGCCTGCCACGTACCTCCTACATCCCAAACCATTCCTCCCCAAACTGCTATTAGTTTGGTATCCTTACATATCTACATCTATGTTAGATATCTATGCATTTGTATCTATATATCGGCTTTATTGAGATATAATTCATAGTAATTTTGATAATCTGAAACCCACTTTCCAGTAGATTACTCGAAATGGGCTTATGAAAAAAGTCTCTGAGTTCTTGCATGTTGATAACAGTTTTGCTTTTATGCTTAAAGGTCAGCTTTTCTGGCTATAACATTCTTGACTCTCATTGTGTTCCCTTGAGCATCTTAAATGTTATTCTGTTTTCTTATGGCATGAAGCATTGCAGTTGAGAGGTCTTAAGATAACCTAATTTGATTTTGTTTATCCATCAGGTGCTCTTTTTGCCTAAATGCCCAAAAGGTTTTTCTTTTTCTCTAATGTCCAATGATTTTACCAGTGTGCTTTGACAGTGATCACTTTGATTCTGCATCCTCAGGCACACAGTGTACCAAATTCGATCACCAGCCCATGTTCTTCTTTTCCAGATGAGAAGGCCACAGACTCTGAAGTCTGGAAATGGTACTAAGATTCTTATGCAAGGAAGCATACTCCTCAACTGTTAGATGAGGAGATGATGGGACGGGGATCTTATTTATGTTTATTATTATTTTGCTCCAGGTGAGTTGCTCTCCCTTTAGCAATGTGAAGAGTTATAACAAACACAACAGGTGAAAGGGTCATGCAGCCCCAGCTGAGAACTCCTGGCTGGCCTCCCCCGGGAACACGTGCTGGCACCTGAACTCTCCTCTTCATCTGAGACTCTCTGGTCCTTTCCTTGTCCTATTTCCACAACTTCCAACATGAAGTCTTCCGATGCTGCTCCCTGGAGCTGGCCCAGCCCGCCCTGGCCACAGGCGCACACACTCTCCTCCTCCCTCCATCAGAACACAGTGCCTGCGGTGTCTGGCTCTGCAGGCAGGGGCGGGGTAGGGAGGAGAGGAACGAGCTTCTCTTTTACGTACCAGTAATGTCATTCCTTCCTCCCCCGGGGGGCCCCATGGCTGTCACCAGCAGCACGTCCACGATGTCCAGCTTGTTTGTGTCTTTCTTGTCAAACCAGTGACCGTGGTCCATCCATTGCCGCAGAAGCTCAATGGGGGGCTGGGCCCCGTATGCCTCTTTGGCCGGCATGTTGAGGTCATCTGGGGAAGAAGCCAGGGCCACACGCTGTAAGTTTAGGGGACCCTCTGCTCTCACAGGAGGCAGCAGAAGACTCTTTCTTCTACGGGAGAGTCCACAGCCAGTGTCCCACCCCCACTCTGGGCAGGGCTCAGCCCACGGACGTTTTGACCTACAGGAAGAGGTTTCCCTGGTTCTGCCCATTGTGACTTTAGGGCTACGTGGATTGGCATCACACAGGCATTTAATTTTTTCTCATTCTCTCCAACAAAACATACTGATTGTCTACTGTGTGTTAGACATTTTAATTTCTGGGGCTATAATTTCTGGGGAGATGTGAGGAAGACAGCCACATCCCTAACAGGGTATTTAATTCGACCAGCAGGTGTGGAGGCAGGCTTTGGACTACGGCTTTGGTGGAGCAAGCTACAATGGCGAGACTAGACTGTGATGTCCTGAAAGCTATCACCCAGTCTCTGCACATAGAGGGCACGCAGTACAGTGGAGCTTAATGTCTCCCCACACCACACTGGCTCAGTGCCCCGCTTGGGGAAGGTGGCATTTTAGGAGTTTTATACCAATTATCTCATCTAATCCAAGTAATGACTTTGTCAGGAAGACAGCTTTACAGTTATGTTGGAGGTGAGGAACTGAGGGTCCTGGGAGTTAAGTCACAATATGCATAGGGTTTTAAAGTGAGATTTCAACCTCAATCTGTTTGGCTGCAAAGCTTAAACTGTGTTTTTAAAAATGTTTAATTGAATTTATTGAGGCGATATTGATTAATAAAATTATATAGGCCTCAGCTATATAATTCTATAACACATCATCTGTATATTGTATTGTGTATTTACCACCCAGCCTGTTTTTGGACATACCATAAAAATAGAAAGGGAAAACAGATTGGAAGAAAGAAGAAAGGAAGAAAAAGAAAGGAAAATAAAATAAAAAAGGACCCTGCCTTCAAAGAGCTGACATTAGCTGGCAAGGATACAAATACATGCAATGTTCATTATCAATACATGATTTTTTAAATTGATTTGAGAGAGAGAGAAAGGGGAAGCGAGAGAGAAACATTGATGTGTTGCTCTGTGTATTGATGCATTCATTGGTTGCTTCCTGTAAGTGCCCTGACCAGAGCTCAAACCCACAACCTTGCCTATTGGGCCGACTCTCTAACCAACTGAGCTACCCAGTCAGGGCAATACATGAATTTTACAGGCAACGAGAAAACTCAGAAGAGCAGGGCATCACTATAAGTAAATGGAACGCTAGTAGAAAATGTATTTGGCACCCAAAATTCTGGGTTTGGGCCACAGCTCCAGAATTTTCCAGATGTTTGACTCTGAACAGGGAATTTAACCTTCTGGAGCCTCAGTGAATGACTAGCAAAATGAGAATGGCAGTTAATAACCTCACAGGGCTGTGGAGTTCAACTCAGATAAGTGAGAAAGTGCTTTGTAAACAGGTAAAATCTTGGGAAACATCAATGTGTTATTTTACATCTATTGAGCAAATACTGAGTTTCTTCACGTACTGATAACATATTTATCTGACACAAAATGGAGTATGGATCTTATCACAAGTGTGTGTTGCTTTTGGAGATGCAACAGGGCCAACACTGCAATCCCTTCAGAAACTGTGTCTCCCCACAGGGTCACCTTGCCTGACCCACGGGCTCACCCAGCTGCACCCCAGGAGAAGCCAGGAGCCTGGCTCAGGCCAGGAGGCCTGGACCACGTCTCACAGACTAAAAAGTTGGCTTCCCACTGCTGTGGCTCAGGGGTTGAGCATCGACCGATGAACCAGGAGGTTATGGCTCGATTCCCAGTCAGGACATATGCCCCAGGTGTGGGTTGATCCCCAGTAGGGGGCATGTAGGAGGCAGCCGATCAATGATCCTCTCTCATTTTTGATGTCTCCCGCTCCCTTCCTCTCTCTGAAATCAATAAAAATATATTTAAAAAGTTAATAAAAACTTGGCATGTAGTACTTGGTCAACAAATACTTGGCAATGGAAGGAGTCAGAAGAAAAAGCAAAATTAAGGAAGGAAGGAAGGGAAAGAAGAAGGAAGAGAGGGAGGGAGGAAGGGAGGAGGAGAAGGAAGAAATACTGAATTTTATTTTATCTGTCAGAGAGAGAAAGACTGCAGAGTGGACCGGCAGCCGAGAGGGGAGGAGCCTGGTGGCATCTAGGCCCGTGCCTTACCCACAAACACCACCGCCTTCTTCCCGATGGGGGGCCCGAAGAGGCCCTTCCGCCGCCGATCCAGCTTGGACATGATGATGTCCTGGGTCTGATAGGCTGAGGTCCTGGCAGAAAAATTGAGGCAGTTGGGCAGGTAGATATTTTTGGGAAGGTGGAGCAGGAAGTTGTTGGTGATGGCTGATTTGCCGGTGCCTGTGGGCCCCACAAATAGCATTGGAACCTCATGGTCCAGGTAGGTTTTCAAGAAGAAGGTCTGCCGGGCTGTCTCCACGGTGGGGATGATGAGTTCCGAGACCTGCACCACAAAGACACGGAAGAGCCTTGGTGCCTGGCCCAGGAGGCTGGCCTTGGCATTCAGAAGACTCAGCTCCATCCTTACTGCCCGTTCAGCTCCATCCCTTCTCGCTTTCACCTTGAGTGAGTCTTTAATAGTCCCAGGAGCTTAGCTTATACCCCTGTGAGATGGGGTGGTGATGGCACCTCGTCCACTGAGCTGGTTTAAAGATGAAATGAGATCAGGCATGTAGAGATGGCATATTGTTCCTGTTTGGTAGACGAGGAAATTGAGGCCCAGAGCTTTTCTGAAATTTGCCCAAGTAACACAGCAAGTAACTGAAAATGCAGGAATTTGAATCCCAGCCGTCTGACTCCGAAGTCTATGTTGTTAACCACTAACCTGTTACCAACCCCAGTTACAATAAGAATGGGTCTGTGGCTGCTGCCCTCCCACTCACTGAGCAGCCGCCTCTTCCAGGCCATCTCTGGTGCTTGACTGAGAAGGGTCAGGTGCTTCCTCCTCATCCCTTTTCCCAGCATCCGGGTTCTTGGTGCTAAGGCCCATCCCCTCTTAACCCCTTTCCAATATGGGAACTGCAGCACTCTTCCTGGCATTCAGACCCCAACCGTGGGCTCCTGGAAGCCCTGTTACTCTGAGTACAACACCCTACCTTCACTTGCCGCCCTGAACCCAAACCCTGTCATCGTCCATTTGGCCTCCATGGGGGCAGAGGAAGGGGCAGGGCCCTCTCTCTCATGTTGAAGCCTCCTGGTGTGTCTAGGCTGGGCCCACCTCTGGGGATACCCTCACCCTGGGGTTTGTGTGAGGGGCCAGCTTGATCTGTGCAGCAGGGTGGCGCGGTGCATGCTGGTAGACAAAGGCTCGGCTTCTTCAGTAAGTAATCAGATCAAAGGAAAAGGATCCGACCAAGGGCATTGCGGAGAGGACGAGAATGGACAGGTGTTGAGCAAGGATGTCCTGCTGTTATCCCCACAGTCTTCCCATAACTCTCTGAGTCAAGTGTGAAATTAGCTCAATTTTTCAGATGAAGAAAACTGGGGCTGGAGGATTGCTGCTAACTTGTCTAAAGACAGAGCCAATAGGTGATGTGGATGCAGAACCAGGTTTTGCTACCAAGACTGGGAATTTATAGCAAGTTGGGTTTCAAGGGGAAAATGTGCGGCAGAACTGAATATATTTTCTGCATGAGACTCTTTTATTTGTATGAATTCAGCAAGATTTGAAGCCCCTGGAGTTCAGGTGACCAAGCTCCTTAAGGAGAATTAAAGTTTAGGGTCTCAGTGCTGGGGAGGGGGGGTCCTCACCACACTCAGCCCCCGGGATGGGCCCTGAACTCAGCACAAGCCACTCTGGTCCTGCCTGTCTGACATGACAATATTCCCACTTTCCTATCCACCGTCTCCACCCACCCGGGGCCTGAACCGTCTGCCATCACCGGGAGAGATAAGTCACGTCACCAGATGCTGCACAGAGTCATAAACGTGCACCCCCAGATAAACGTTCCACAAGGAAAGGAGGAGGAAGTGTCAGCGAGTCGTCTGCTAACCAGACAAGCTAATCAGAACCTGTGCTGCTGAGTCAGAACCTGTGCTGCTGAGAATGCGGACCAGGAAACCTTCTCAGGGGATGTGAACAAAGGCAGGTGTCCCTTTTGTCTGAGATTCCTGAGATTTCGCAATGCCACAAGGCCTGTCATGACCGATAAGGCTGGGGTGGGGCTGTTCCAATCTAGCACATGGTATGTGCCATGTGTTCATGTATATTGTCTCCAGTTCTTACCACCATCACGGGAGCATTTTTCTGTTGTTTGGTAGTGAACTGAGGCAAAGGGTGAAGGCGGAGTGAGGAGCCTGGGTCTCTGGTTCCAGCGTCCAGGCCTCCAGGCTCCGCCCACGCACGTTTGGCCCTTTCCTGAAGGAAGGTCTTTAAGATGCGGACACAGAACTGCTGTCAGCACTCCCGCCTGGAGGATCTGAGTCACTGTGGAAACCGAAGTCCCATGGCCAGTCCCCTCCTTACCTTTGCGTTGGCTGGGATGCTCTCCTCTTCCTTGGTGACATACTCGGTCCACGTGTACCAGTGCCCACTGCCTTGCTTGAGGAAATAGAAGTCATAGACGCTCCCTGGACTCAGAGAAACAGAACAGGCTGTTAGCACACCAGGCTCACACTTCCTAGCTGAGGTGCTTGCTGCCCCAGCCGGAGGCACCTGCGATGTGTCCGTGCACGGTGGCGCAGCCGGCGAAGCTCACCCACTGCGGGTGCCTGCACGGACCGGAGCAGCGTCGCCTAAAGAGTGATGACTTCATTACTTGTATAAAAACAATAGGTTCGATGTATGCAAAGAGTTAAATTATTTTTAATAATGTAAACAGGAAGTATTAAAAATAACAAGAAAACAAAAAGAAAGCAATACATCACTCTAACCCTGACATCCAGAAATAACTTTCCATGGCCATCTTCCTGGCCTTCTCCCCAGGCACACAGCACATTGGAGGTGGAAGGGCAGACAGATCGAAGAAAGGATTTTATAAGAATGGGATCACTTGACATGTTCCGTTTTTAAATAAAGATGCTAAGTTCAACTTTACTTAAATCTCACAGAGCCAACATGGAACTAAAGGACCAACTAAACTCGAGACAAGTCATTATTCACTACAAGATAAACTGCTTCATAAAGAGCAACTTTTAAAACAGTAATTTAGAAAAATAACCGAAGTTATTAAGGGGTTAAAGACACTATGCTTTAAGAAAATCATTTAGCCTGGCCAGTGTGGCTCAGTGGTTGAGCATCCACCTATGAACCAAGAAGTTTCTGGTTCCATTCTTGGTCAGGACACATGTCTGGGTTGCAGGCTCCATCCCCTGTAGGGGACCTGTGGGAGGCAGCCGAACAATGTTTCTCTCTCATCAATGTTTCTATCTCTCTATCCCTCTCCTTTCCTCTCTCTCTAAAAAAAATCAATAAAAACATATTTTTAAAAATCATTTAATCAAATTTTGTGATAGTGTTTTTACTTTTCACTGTCAAAAATTTAAAAATACATGAGGGTGAGGAGCATCTATCTAATAATAGGATAATGTGCAAATTGGTCAGGACGCCGTCACACAATAACTGATCAGCAGGCTGTGTCCCTGCCCCCTGCGCCTGCCCGGAGACTGAGGCAATGGGCCCAGGGGCGTGAGCTCGCGTCCCCACCCTCTGCGCCAAACCAGAGTCCGCAGGCGCATGGAGAGGCCCCTCCACTGCGGGCCTAGTCGGGGGTCACAGGTGTGCAGAGGTCTGCAGGCCTCCACTGTGGCCCAGCCCCGGGGCGGACCGTGGCAGGGACTTCATGTGCCTGCGCTGGGGGTCTGCAGGCCTTCCCTGGCTCCGGCCTACCTCTTTGGGGCATCCATCCAGGAGCCCCGGATGGGTGGGCAGGGCTTACCTCTTTGGGGCAATGGATCGCAGGGCTCCCGCACTGAGACAGGGCACAGGCCATTCTGGGGGACCCCGCCTCCCCCGCCCCAAGGTGCACAAATTCTGTGCACCGGGCCACTAGTAGTATAATAAACCACGTGCCTATCATCCAGCTTCAATAGTTATCAATATTTCATAATTCTTGTCTCATCCACTTCCCCATCACTATATTCAATTTCCTTCCTTCTTCCCTCCCTCCCTCCCTCCCTCTCTTTCTTTCTTCTTTCTTTGGAGTACTTTGAAGCAAATCCTGACATTGTATTTCATTTGTAAATACACATAACTCAATGTTGGCCAATTTCACTGATTTCTTTATGAACTGTGTGGTGATTAGCTCTCACTCTTCCCTCCATCTCTCCTCCTCTGACTCCAGTTCTAACACATTTTTGTTCTTTCACCACAGTTCTCCTGCTCTGAAGCTTTAGGTCTGTATTTAAATAGATTCATTGCTCAAACTCGAGTCTTTTCACACAGACCATGTAAAAGTTCTTTATTTTGATCCATCTATTTGTTGGCTGATTTTATTTCTTTTTCCAAAATGGGACTTACAGGCACTCATTCTCTCAGTTTTTGCATGACCAAGAGTGCCTGTGCTGCTTTTGTATCTAAAGAGTGACTTGGCTGAGAACGGTATTCTTATGTCACATTTCCTTTCCCTCGGAACCCTGTAAGCCATGCTTTACTTATATCCTGGAAGTTTGCAGTGCTGAGGCCCATCAGATGGTTTGCCCCTTTATTGACTTTATTTCCTATCGAGATGCCTGATGGAATCTTTTTGATACTCGATGTACAAGAATTTAATCAACTTATTTCTTTTGATCAGTTATTCTGTATCAAATTCCTTCATTGTTATCATGTTAACTAGAGGCCCGGTGCACAAAAATTTGTGCACTCGGGGGCAAAGGGGGGGTCCCTTAGGCCCACTTGTGCCCTCTCGCAGTCTGGGACCCCTTGGGAGATAACGACTTGCTGGCTTAGGACTGCTCCTGGGTGGCAGAGGGCAGGCCCAATCCCTAGGTGCAGCCCCTGGTCGGGCTCAGAGCAGGGCTGATTGGGGAGTTGGGGCGCCGCCCCCTGTCATGCACAGAGCAGGGCGGATCAGGAGGTTGCGATGCCACCCTCAGTCATGCTCAGGGTAGGGCCGATTGGGGGGTTGGGGCACCGCCCCCTGTCACACTCAAGGCAGGGTCGATGGGGAGGTTGCGGCGCCACCCCCTGTCACGCACAGAGCAGGGCCAATCAGGGGGTTGGGCGCTGCCCCCTGTCATGCACAGAGCAGGGCCCATCAGGGGGTTGGGGAGCTCCCCCCTGTCACGCACAGAGCAGGGCCGATCAGGGGGTTGAGGAGCTCCCCCCGTCATGCACAGAACAGGGCCCATCAGGGGGTTGGGGAGCTCCCCCCTGTCACTCACAGAGTAGGGCCGATAGGGGAGTTAGGGCACCGCCCCCTGTCACACACAGAGCAGGGTGGATCAGGGGGTTGGGGCGCCGCCACTGTCACACTCAGGGCAGGGCCGATGGGGAGGTTATGGCTCTACCCTGTCACACACAGAGCAGGGCCTGTGGGGGGGGGGTTGGGGCGCCGCACCCTGTCACAGAGCAGGGCCCATCAGGGGGTTGGGATGCCGCACCCTGTCACACACAGAGTCGCAGGGCGATCAGGGGGTTTGGGCGCTGCCCCCTGTCACGCTGATCCGGTGCCAGGAGACCTCGCGGCTCCGCTGATCCCGGTGCTGGGAGGCATATTACCCTTTTACTATATAGGATAGTGGCCTGGTGCATGGGTGGGGGCCGGCTGGTTTGCCCTGAAGGGTGTCCTGGATCAGGGCGGGGGTCCCCACTGGGGTGCCTGGCCAGCCTGGATGAGGGGATGATGGCTGTTTGCAGCTGGTCACAGACCCTTCAGGGTGGGGGTCCCCACAGACAAGAAAAAGCTAGAGGAATTCATTGCCACCAAACAAGTATTACATGAAATGCTGAAGGGTATTCTTAGAAGAAGAAGATGATAGTGAAGAAGAAGAAGAAGAAGAAGAAGAAGAAGAAGAAGAAGAAGAAGAAGAAGAAGAAGAAGAAGAAGAAAAGGAAGAAGAAGAAGAAGAAGAAGAAGAAGAAGAAGAAGAAGAAGAAGAAGAAGAAGAAGAAATAAAAAATATGAACAATAAAATGGAAATAAATACATATCTATCAACAGTTGAATCTAAAAACCAAAATAAATGAACAAGAAATCTAATGAACAAAATAAACTGATGAATAAAATAGAACCAGAGGCATGGAAACATGGGACAGACTGACGAATCTCAGAAGGAAGGGGTGAGAGGGGTGCAGGAAGAAATTAACCAAAGATCTTATTTGCATATATGCATAACCTGTGGACACAGACAATAGGGTGGTGAAGGCCTGGGGCGGAGCAGGAACTGGGTGGGAGGGGGTAATGGGGATGAAGAGGGGGACACCGGTAACACTCTCAACAATAATTGTTAAAAAAAGAAAACAATCCCATTGATAATTGTATCAATCCCACCCCCCAAAAGAAACCGAAGAAGCTACAAATAAATGGAAGCATACACCAGGTGCATGGATTGGAAGGATTAAAATGTCTCTACTACCCAAAGCACTCTATATATTCAATGCAATGCCTATCAAAATACCAATGGTGTATTTCACAGAACTAGAATAAATAACCCCAAAAATATATGTGGAACCACAAAAGATTGCAAATAGCCATAGCAACCTTTAGAAAGAAGAACAAAGTTGGCGGTATCACACTACCTGATATCACACTATGCTCCTAGGCTATAGTAATCAAAACAGCATGGTAAGGCCCAACCAGCATGGTTCAGTGGTTGAGCGTTGACCTATGAACCAAGAGGTCATGTTTTGATTCCTGGTCATGGCATATGCCCAGGTTGCAGGCTCAATCCCCAATGAGAAACATGCGGGAGGCAGCTGATCAATGATTCTCTCTCATTATTGATGTTTCTATCTCTCTCTGAACATTTTAGTTTGGATCATAAGACAGTTCCATTTTTCCTCTCTGAAACCAAGGAATATATATTTTTAAAATTAGCATGGTATGGACATAAAACAGACAGATGGATCCATGGAACAGAACAGAGAGCCCAGAATAAACCTATGCCTATATGATTAATTGAGGCAAGAACATACAATGGAGTAAAGACAGTCTATTCATTAAATGGTGTTGGGAAAATTGAACAGATGCATGCAACAAACCCCGCACACAAAAAATAAAACAACACAAGAAACTAGACCAGCTTCTTATACCATATTTAAGAATAAACTAAGAATGAATTAAAGCCTTAAATGTAAGACTCTAAATCACAGAAGCCCTAGAAGAAATAGGCAGTAAAATCTCTGATGTTTCTCTTAGCAATATTTTTTCTGATACATCCCCCCCCCCCCATTAAGGGAAACAAAAGAAAAAATAAACAGACAGGACTATATCAAACTAAAATGTTTTTGCACAGCAAAGAAAATTATCAACAAAACAAAAAGACAACCTACTGAATGGGAGAATATATTTTCCAGTGATACAGGGTTAATATTGAAAATTTATAAGGAACTTAGACAATTCAATACCAAAAATACAAACAGTCCAATTAAAAAAATAGGCAGAGGACCTGAATAGACACTTCTTTAAAGA